ATGTCAGTTCCAACGACCAGTTAGCAGACATCCTCACTAAGTCTCTCAAGGGTTCTCGTGTTGATTTTATTTGTAACAAGCTTGGTGCAAATGACTTATATGCTCCAGCTTGAGGGGGAGTGTTGAAGTGTAAAATAGGAAATAGGATTATTCTCATTAAAGACTATCTTCTATATTAGGTTAGGATCAAAGCTATTAAGAATTAGATAAGTTATAATAGGAATGTAACAATTTACTTCCTAGATTAGTCTTTTGTTTTTGCTATAAATTCATTGTACATTTCATTGTGAAATAATAAGTAAAAACAAAGTATTTCTTCACAGATAGATTTAGCTCCTTTCTCCTTGAATTTGGTTTTTTTCTACAGTACAACTGATCCAAGTCTCTTTATCAATCATTCGGCTAATAGCACTTTGGTGCCACTTTTATACGTGGATGATATCATTCTTACGGGTTCCTCAGATCAGTTAATTAATCAATTCATAGTTGTGTTGCACACTAAATTTGCAATGAATGGCCTTGGTGCACTTCATTATTTTTTGGGGATTGAAGTTAGTCATGTTTCAGATGGCCTTGTACTACACTAATCTAAGTCTGCTATTGATCTGCTTGATCGTGCCTTGATGAGAGATTGCAAACCAATTTAGACTCCAATGACTCAAAAGTTCAAAACAGTCACGGATTCAACAGCCTTTTGTGATCCTCACACCTATCGATCTCTAGTTGGTGCATTATAGTATTTAACACTAACACGTCCTGATATTTCATTTAGTGTTAATTATGTTTCTCAGTTCATGCATGCTCCAACACAAGACCATTTCACAATGGTAAGAAGGATTCTGAGATATGTCAAAGGGATTGTCCACCATGGTTTGCATTTTCAAAACTCAAGTACATTGGATCTTTATGCCTTCTAGGATGCCAATTGGGCTAGCTGTCCACATACACGACATTCCACAGCTGGTTTCTCTACTTACCTTGGCAGTAACATCATTTCTTGGAGTGCAAAGAAACAACCAACAATCTCTCGTTCAAGCTCAGAAGCTGAATACAAGGCCATGGCCCAAACTGTTGCAGAAATCACTTGGCTCACTTTTATTCTCCGTGACCTCCGGTTTTATTTTGTGATAATCTAAGTTCCTTGTTTATGACCATAAATCATGTGTTTCATGCTAGAAGTAAATACATTGAGTTAGATTATCATTATATCAGGGAAGAGTCTCTCTGGGGTTGTTAACCACTCGACATATCTCTACTTCAGCTCAGATTGCAGATGTTTTCACCAAGCCACAAACCAGATATGACCTAGACAAGACTCAAGCACAAACTATGCCTTGTTACCACGCCTAGTTTGAGGGCGGATGATAACATTCACCATTCAATCAACAATATTCCTGATATCGAAACAGTTGATATGGAGAGAACCATGACAGATCTGGATGTCGAGAGTGTAGCAGGTTGATTTATCTCCATCTCATTGACAGCCATAGGACTTATTCTAGAGCAAATTTTACTCCTTGTAATTTGCTAAGTCTTACCTTGTATAGAATACACAGTTGTCTATTACCATGTTTAACTAGCCTATACAATTTATGTATACAATTCTTAATATAAATACAATACTACTCCCACGGTTGAAGGTGTGGTGAGATTTCTCAATCATCGACTTGTGTTAGTTTTCTTCTACTATGGAGTTGCAACTTACTATAAGTTTTTTATCACATGGCCACCTCACGTTTAAATAATTAATCACACTTTATAATTAAATTTTAAACAGTGAATAATATATATCACTGCAAATAATTAAATTATAAGTTTTAAGTTAAAATCTTAATATTTTGTATGGTAAGAGTTGGTTGTATTATTTTTTAATTATTTTTTAATTATTTTTTCTATATTTTTCATGCCCCGATCTTCCAATTTAAATAAATATCATAATTTTACGATGTTTTTTTTTTTTTTTTTTTTATCTCTCAATTGTAATTGGCAAAACACTAAAACTTACATTTCCTTTTTGTTTTTTTCCGATATTTTAGTTTAAGCATTAATATATTTTTCAAAATATTCTACCATATACTGATAATAAAAAATGTTAAACTAATAACCCCGTTTGGAAATCTTTTCTTGTGTTGATAAACTAAATTTTGCCAGCCTGGATAGTTGATTCAAGACCATTTTAATTGGTATTTTATAATGACAAAGTCGATGTTCTTGTTGGATTGATTGAGGAGAAGAGGCAAAATTAGATAAGATTCAGCTGTCTATTTTTTTATGCTTCCCAAGTTTATCGTTTTAGGAATAAGCGAATCATTCAACATGGTTGGGTGAACGAAATTTCACTAAAAAGAATTGCCCAATATCATGCGAGCTATGGGGAGTGCTTTGCTATATGGTATATAGTTCCACTTAAATAGGACATTTAAGTTTTGTTTTGAAACATATAGTTCATAGTATTACACTATTACCAAAATGCACGGTCAACCAGGTTGATAAATAAAGAGTAAACGACTTTTTTTCCCACCTAAGGTTTGCCTTCATGACACTTTCCCAAACAAAACGTTTCAAAATATCACTTTCCCACCAAAAGTTTATATTTTATTTACTATCCAAAATATACTTTTCGATTCGGTAATCAACAGAGAAAAAACTCGGTCTAGGTTGTTAGAGTTTATGAAGAGGGGATGCCAGTGAATCTTTTGGTGGTCGGGATTGGTCAGAATCTGACTTAAGAGAGGTGGCTACACATTTCACAAATCGTTCGATTGTCGACGATTGATGAGAGTAAGGTTTGAAGGGTTTTGGTGAATAGTGATCAGAAAAGAGAATAGTGGTGTCGTAGGGTCACAAAAATACCGAAATCGACCGACAATTAATCAGAATGTAAACTTTGGGCGGAAAAATGGTATTTAAAAATTTTTTGGATGAAAAAGTGTCTTTAAGGCAAATCTTGTATGGGAAAAAGACGTTTACTCCTAAATAAAAATATAAACGTTGGTAGGATGTATTATTTTTTCTAGCTTCTTTTAGGATTTTGTATCGTCGACTTGATACTTTTTATACATTGCGCACACCATTACAGATGACAGTAATTGATGCTTTCGATCTTGTATTTCTCTCGTCNACTACTGGCCAGATTCAGTTGGTAGTGCGTCATCCTACCAGATTCCGACCATTTTCCGGTGGTGGTGGCCGGAATTTGGTAAATATGGATTATTGGGGTGTTTTTGTAATTTAAAAAAAATATTTAGGGGTATTTAATTAAATTATCAAATTTAAGGGGTTTAAAAAAAGTTGAATAATATTGGGAGTAGTATTCCCAAAAATCTGAGTTTTTGGGTATTTTACTGTTTAACTTTTTTGGGAATACTAAAATTAGTATTCCCAAAACTGAAACAAACGCAACCATAGACTCCGTTTGGTTCACTTTTTTACACTTTTTAGAAAGGTTTTTGGAAAAAGTTAAAAAAAGTTGAATTGGGCGGTATTACGATGTAGGATTTGGAAATAAATAAAAATACCCCCTGTGTTTGTTTATTTACAAAACACCCCCTATGTTTGTTTATTTACTAAACACCCCTATAATAAAATATTAAAAGTTAACAAAAACACCCCCAACCCACCCATTAAATATGGATAGCCGACCACCACCGTCGGAGGGTGGCCAGAGTCGTCGTATCGGCGCATAACCGGTTGGATCTTGTCGGTCGTGCGCCGATATTGCCTTTTCCCGCCAGATCCACCATGGATTTGGCCAGCAAAGGCCAGATCTACGGCTAGATCTAGCCATTGATGGTCAGATCTGGCCGTATTTTCTCGTCAACGACACCCAAAGATACGGCCGTCGTTGATGGTCAACGACGACCATGTGTTGGCCATCGTTGATGACCTGCTACGGTCAAAGATCTGGCCGTCAACAGGTCGGTAGTGTGCCATTATACCAGATTCCAGCCATTTTCCGACAGTGATGGCCAGAATCTGGTAAATATAGGATGTTGGGGTTGTTTTTGTAATTTTTAAAAAATATTTAGGGGTTTTTAATTAAATTAACAAATTTAAGGGGTTTAAAAAAAGTTGAATAATATTGTGAGTTTTTGCAATTTTACTATTTAACTTTATTGGGAATACTAATAATAGTATTCCCAAAAGGGAACCAAACTGAGCCATAGTTCATAGTATTACACTATTACCAAAATGCACGGTCAACCAAGTTGCTAAATAAAGAGTAAACGACTTTTTTCCCACCCAAGGTTTGCCTTCATGACACTTTCCCAAACAAAACGTTTCAAAATACCACTTTCCCACCAAAAGTTTATATTTTGTTTACTATTCAAAATACACTTTTCGATTCGGTAGCCAACAGAGAAAAAACTCAGTCCAGGTTGTTAGGGTTTTTGAAGAGGGGATGCTAGTGAATCTTTTGGTGGTCAAGATTGGTCAGAATCTGACTTGATAGAGGTGGCTACACGTTTCACAAATCGTTCAATTGTCGGCGATTGATGAAAGTAAGGTTTGAAGAGTTTTGGTGAATAATGATCAGAAAAAAAAAATGGTGGTGTCGTAGGGTCGCAAAGATGCCGAAATCGACCAACAATTAATCAGAATATAAACTTTGGGCGGAAATATGGTATTTAAAAATTTTTTGGATGAAAAAGTGACATTAAGGCAAATCTTGTATGGGAAAAAGTCGTTTACTCCTAAATAAAAATATAAACGTTGGTAGGATGTATTATTTTTTCTATCTTCTTTTAGGATTTTGTATCGTCTACTTGATACTTTTTATACATTGCGCACACCATTACAGATGACAGAAATTGATGCTTTCGATCTTGTATTTCTCTCTTCTCTTTGTCTTCATCTTATACCTTTTTTTTGGTAAATAACTTTTAATACAGAATGCATATCGAAAATATGTTTAAAAGCATATGATTGTGTATGATGATTAAATTGCTAAGATGTGACCAAAATAATCACCATAAACACGCATTTTAAGCAAAAGCAAATTGCAAAAGATCATCATATTTACCTCACATTTCTTTAATCCTCAATTTTAGAATACATTTCTCATTTCTATTTACATAAAACTATAAACTGATCTCTGGACAACAATGGTGAACTACAACAATACTGAGACTATGGAACTAAAAATGAAGACAATTTATGATGGCTACCATGGTGTTATAGACCTTTTCGTTTTCTCTGATTGAAGGTAACCCTGTTTCACTTTGGTTGCTGCTTGACAAATGAAACTGTTAAGATGTTTGCCCGCAAAGGATGAATGCTTGAATAAGACTCTGTGCAGCACGCATTTGATCTGATGTTCCGGACACTACAACCACACCTTCTGAAGCCCCAGGTTTCGGGTCATTAACAACTACATTTGCACCTGAGATCTGATATATAGTATCAGGTCAAAATGAGCATTAATTCATAGGATATTTTTGTTGAAACTTTGGGGAATACAATTAATGAAATCAACATGTCTACTAACCTGCCTTATGTGACCCAGGTTACTGTTGTTCTCGCCATAAACATGAGCCATGAATGCTTGAGGAATCACAACCTCAACAGTGGTGCTAGTCAAAATCGGTGCATGATTTCCACTGCAATGAATAGAAATAGCCAAAAATCATAATCATGAAATTCCAAATCAAATCGTGAAAATATCTCTCTTTTTGATTTCAAGATATAAGAAGAAAATAGGTAAAATAATGACAGGGCAAGCATCGTGAATATGTACAAGCATAATATATATAAATGATAGCGCAGACAAAGCATATTATGCCAGCTAATATCAAGTCAACTATGTTGAAAATGCAAAAGGCAAAAGTTAGAAAAAAATTTATTCAAGAAAGGATTACCCTGCAAGGGACCCATTTCTTGCTGTATAGCCAGAAGCAACATCAACTCCCCTATGATTCCCACCGCTACCTGCCTGAAATAAACCCATGTATGGATCATTAGGATGATAATTTTAAAAGAAAAACAAAATAAAACAGTAGAAGCATAATTAAGGTTAAGTGACTAATTCATAAAGTTCAAACCAAGTTCAAGACATCAACCTGAGGACCCCAAGATCTTGGTGATGGTGGCCTATCAAATATATGACCATGTCCAGGTCTCTCACCGCCATATGGATACGGAACTCGATCAAAATTAGGTGGGCCCATATGATCCATACCATGTGAAAAGGATGGCTGGCGATCAATGGGCTGGGAACGGTCAATGCCATGGAAAGGTCCAACTGGAGAAGGATATGAACCTGGGGATGCTGGATTATGTCTTGGCCTGAATGGAGGAGGAGGCATTTCTGGAAAAGGAGGCAAGTAGGGTGGGCCATTGTTCGGAAAGTGTGGTTTCATAGGGAATATGGTCTCCCGCAGTCTGCTTGTTATGTGAAATAAAGCGTCCTGCACTGAATGGAAGTTGCCAATAACCTGCCAGAAAGCACAATCCTTAATTATCCTAACAGAGCTTCTTTAGATAATAGGAGAGCAAAAATTGGATCAGTGGATGAAAGATTCACATTCTGTTCATAAAGCATAAGATTACAGAAAATATTCCAAGTAAGTTATGAATCTCTCAAAAGAATTATAATACTATTTTGTTCAACATATAAGCAAGTATGACATTTAACTATGATTTTTTTCCCCTAACAAGTGAGAGATACTGTTACATTGGCCACTGTCAAATTAGATGTTCATTTACAAAAGTGTAAATGAAAGAATTAAGCATCTGAATTTTATTTATCCAGTCATATCACTGCAGCACTGTTACAGAAAAATGAGACTATTCTCCAGGATGATTCACATTCACTTGAGCCAGCAAATGCTATAAACCAGGGGATAAAGACAAACAATCACAAATCTATGAGGGTACAAGCTAGTTCACCAAAAATGGTCATAGCAAGGTTTCATTTACATAAATCTAGCAATCCAATATGATCAAAAGAAAAGGAAAACCAGTAGCTCAGAATTTATTATGTGGTGGTAGAGTGTTCATGTAGCCCAATGAAGTTAAGAGGTAAAGCACAACTATTAAAAACTTGAAAACTAATAACTAACCAGCTAGCAGAATGATGCCCATAAAAATTAATCACCTGTACAACTTCATCATTAGGAGAACCACATTTTGGAGCTTGTTCCCTTGGAAATACGCGTATACTAGCACCAGTAGCTCTCCTCATCTCAGAAATGATGTAGCCTCCTCTACCCAACAAACAACCAATCTGCTGTGAATGTACAAGAAGCCGAGCAACAACAGCATTACCAGGTTCAAATCCAATCTCAGCAATTCTAGAATGCACACGCATAACGGCATCCTGAGCAGGAGAGTGTCTCTGCTCGGAATTCTGCAACAGGTGAAACCATACAGAAAAATTAAGGAACACAAAATGATACTTTGGATTCAAAATGAAATATTATTAGGTATTTCAATCATTTAAAATTTCAATAATAATGACATGATGTTATATGAAAAGTATTTGATGCTCAAAGAAATCTAAGTTTGGTATAACATCATCTGGACTGGCTACATTGGAAATCTAAGTGTGATATGTTGGATGACAGATTAGATTCAGAACTCCCAGTCACACCCACCAAAAATAATCCACAAACCACCAAATGAGAGCAATGGTACAATATCGTCCTAACTCCTCAAAGACTAAACCAATGAACAAAGTTATGCCTAGAGAGCAACAAATAAAGATATCATGCAGGAACAGTTTTGAAGACTTGATTAATGGCTTAATATTATGACCATGACAAAATTCCCATTAATTAACCAAAAATTCAGCCCAAAGCTCCAAAACTTTTTGCATTAGTAATCAAACACAAAAAGCTCCCTAATTAGCAAAAATGAAGAATATTGCAGCTCTCCACAGAGTACTAAAGGAGTAAAATTCAGAGACAGTTAAGTTCCCATGCCTCTCGGGCAGATATCAAAACCACCCGCTCATCTGAATCGGGCACAACATCTGCAATCTTGATTGATGCACCAGTTTCATTTTGAAAAGTCCGAACTATAGAACCACCTTTCCCTATCAAACTGCCAACTTTGTCAAGATGGCACAACAGCTTAAAGACAACATCCTCTTCAAAATATATCCTGTTGTGTGCTCCAACAGTCTCAGGCCCTGGACCAGAAGAATAACCCCTCGAATGAAAACCAGGACCATAACCTCTCTGATGAAATGGCTCCACTGACGCCAACATAGGATTTCCATGGTGCAGCATCCCTGGAGGTTTTGTTACATTAGTGTTGGCTACATCTACTCTAGGGCTATCTTGAACACAACTCGAAACAGACAAGAGTGCTTTCTTTACAGCTGGAAAGCTTCCTGTTATCTGAAAAACCAGATGTCCACATAACTATACTGTAACGGCTAGACTAATAACATTACGAAATTTGAATACATAAGAATTAAGTTACAGGACAAATCAAGCAATACATAAAAATGCCAACGCAGCAAGTCCAATTAACCATTCTCTTTTTCCTTATATAGTTGATAACTAGAGGTCATTCTACCATGTGAAGAATCATTCAAGTACAGGATTTATCATCAATTGTTGCCGAGAGTCACCTCAAACCCATCCAAGCATCCACCTTCTGTCAACACATGGAACACCTATAAAACCCTCCTCCTAACACATGCCTGAAACTAACAAGTAACAAATTGAAGTGTTCATATACCTCCACAAATTAGGCAAAAACTATATTTTCTTAGCTTCATTAAATTGTCATCCTTTCATGCCTCTCCACCCATTACTCAATCCTATTATTCACTTCCTAAAACAACAGAAATTTCTCGATTTCTAAAGAACCCCAATTTTTTTCTTTTTCAATATTTATTCAAATCCGCAACAAAATTCCTACATTTCATGTCACATATATAACCTCTCCAGCAGCTTAAAAATAAAGAAGCATTATTATAACAAAATTTTAAACCACTTCACCTGAATCAATTCATCAGAACCCGCACCCGAACCCGGTATTTGATCTTTGGCTAAAACCCTAACTTGGGCACCACCTCCACTCTCACTCTCAATCTTCTCCACAACTTTACCAAGCCCTCTTCCAATTATCATCCTACACGTCAAATCTTCCACTTGTTCATCCTTCTCTCCGGCTTCGCCCTTGACTATTCTCTCATACACCCTCACCAATGATCTTTGCTCCGGCGTCCACGACTCGTCTTCTCCTTCTCTGTTAACATTATAATGATCTTTATTGGTTGCGGGGTCTAAAGTTACTACGATTATACAATCTTCACAAGAAGGGTCGTCCAGTACGCGGATTTTGGCTCCCGTTTGAGACTCAAGGTGGCTGATGGTGGACTCCGATTTCCCAACTGCGGCGGAGCAGACGAGCCGGAACTCGGTTGGGCCACTCTCCATTTGGGCTCGGACTTTGCGTTCACGCTTTGCTCATCGTGTACATTTTTTTGGTTGGAGCATAGTAGTGTACTGAAATGTTACAGGCTACTTTTCACGGTTCGATGGATTGTTAAAGAAATGTGTTTTCACATTGACAAGTCGATCAGCGGTTAAAATTGGCCGTTTATTATTAATTTAAATTTAATACAATTCTTTTATTTTTTAAAATAATAAATACAATAAAAGAAAACTAAAGTTTGATCTAAATATTTTTAAAATCAGTTTTTTCATAAGAATAAAATGTAAGGACTTGTTTGTTTTCACGTCCTTTTTTAAAGGGATTTTATATTCAAATATTTATTACTTGTTTGTATTCTTATTAATGGAAAAAAAAACCACTTTAAGATTTTTAAATTTTAATCATACCTCTTAAAACCTTAATCTCTATTAACCTATTTTATTCATGTTCTTAATTTACTTTCATTATAATTGACAAAGTTGATATACTGAATTAAAGAACCAAATTATTTACAAAATTAAAATATTTTCGTTATATTTTAAAAAATCAATTATTTATAATATAAACTATAAATGTATATATCAAAATTGAAGGATTTTTGTGTTAGATAAATTTTATGGATCATGAGATTGGGTTAATATTTTGTAGAGTTGGTTTGGTAAGGTAAAAAGCAGTTATGATCTTTTCGGGAGAAATTTGATCGATATTTGGATGATATTTTTTATTAGTTGACTGTAAAAGTTTTTGTATGGATTAAAATAAAATCAAAAGAAATTGATGAAATGAAAACATTGGGTGGAATTTTGTTGGAGTGAATGTGATAAGTTTATGAAGTTTTGTAGGTTATAAGAAAATTTTATAAATTTTGTTTTATGCATGTAAAATTAATGAGTTTTGGGTGATTTATAATATTTTAGTTAAAGGGTCAAAACGCCATTTTAGTTTTTAACAATTATTTTTATCAGTAGGAGTTAGGGTGGCATTTTTCAAAATATTGGGTACTTTCCAAATCGTCAAATATGTGGGGTTTTTAATTATATATATATATGGGGAGAACGACCCAAGGTTTGGCGAAACAATACTTTCTCACCTGTCAAGTTTCAAATCAACACTTTCCCACCCACTATTATATTCCGTTAGGAAAATCCATTATTATTTGACTATGAAGACAAAAATACCCGTTACTATTTGATTTAATAATTTTTTTATTATTTTATAGAGGTCAACAATTCAATTACCAAAACAGTAAAACCTCTTTATAGTGATACTTTATATAAAAATAAACTCTACATAGTCATAAAAAATTATATTCTCAATTTGAGATAGTTATAAATAAGAATAAACTCTACATAGTAATAAGTTATAATTTTTTTAATTCCTGTCTTAAGGAAAGTTACCTCCACATAGTAATAGTTATCTGTATATTGTAAAAAAAATATATAGTATGTTACATTAAAGGTTTAAGATGAAATAAAATATTTATCTGAAATTGTTTGAGACAATAATTTATGCTTTAGAGTTGTTATTACATCTTTTAACTTGTGGGTATATTACCTGGCATGAACATTTTCTTGTTAAAGCCAAAATATCTCTAGCTTCTTAACATGAAATTTTTCGTATTTCCGTACTATTATCCTCATAATTATTTCATTTCTCTTCTTGTTTAATTATAGAAATGATTTTGTTCTTTTGTTAAAACATAAATGACTTGTTACTCATTTGGATGATTAAGGAAGACATTAATATTCATTCGATTAGTGTAGTAAAGTTATTGAATCTGATCACTCAATTTTACAATGACTCTTTGATTCTTCTCATCCACTTCATTTATAACTTGCAATTCATCGACATTGGGGGCTCCTGATTTTGTAATGCTTAAAACAATTGACAATTGTCTATGACTTCACATCAATTGTCATGCAGTAATTACATTTACAATTTTATCAAGGACAATTATCTTTGTTGGTTTCAAAACACGATCTTCTATCCGTTTCAAAAGTAGGAAATTGAATCGCTTAATTGAAACCCTAATATTATTAAAACATGAATTGAAATCCTAATATTGTACTACTAAAACATGAATTTTGAAATAAGAAATTTTTTTAACTACACCTCTATTAAGTTATAACCTCCTCATAGTAATAAAATTAGTTAGTCCAACCATTATGACTATAGAGAGGTTTTACTGTATATTCACTATTTTAATATAAAATTATTGATATACCCCAACTATATATTTAAATTTAAACTACCAATTTGTCCTCCAATTTTTTTATTAAAAAATGAAGTTAGTATTAGATTTTTAAAATTTGAAACCTTTAAAATTACCGATTTGTCCTCGCATTTATATTTTGTCAAATAAATCTAAGTAATAGCATTAATGATTTACTTAAAATAAGAATCCAGATTGTAAAATTACAGTGCATATAAATAGGGATGGGCATAAGACCTGGCCCCATCGGGACCCACCCCACCCTGGCTCAAACGGGGTGGAGTTTCACCAAATCATTCGGGAATTGGGCCAAGATCGGGCCCAAAATTAGTCCTAAAATTCGGGGAGGGGACAGGGCCAGGATAGGTCTTGCCCCGGTCCAGCCCCATTTTGTTCCCGCCCCGAAATCCCCGGCCCAGCTCGTATATATGTATAATATGTTAATGCTATAAAACAAAAGTTATACATTCGACATTATACATTATACTTTATATATGGTATATAAGTATAATTTATATAACATATATATGCTATACATTATACATAATATGCTATTATCTATAATCATATGTTAATACATAATATATATGTTATATATATGTAATATATCATTTGGTGTTTTGATTGATTATAATAAATCAAGAAATCATTATAGATTTAATTTCTTTTTGGATGGTATATTATAATTTGGAGAAAATGGTAATAAGGACACAAAAGCCCCAAACGGGGAATCCCCGAATTCCTTGTTTGGGGAACGAGCTTTATTCGGGGATTCCCCGAATAGGCTACAGGCCGAGATCGAGGAATCCCCTTGGGCTTTCGGGCTGGGGCTGGAGATAGGGGTCCCCGACCCTGCCTCGGCCTGTGCCCATCCCTATATATATATATATATAAGAAATTTTATCAAGTCAAACTCAATAAATATATGGAATTCAATACATCAAAAGCAACTTTTCCAGTTTCTCATTCATTTCTTAAAATCCAAAAAGTTTTGCTTTCACCCTCCCACTTTTTAGCTCTTTGAAGCTTGCTTTTATTTTGCTTTCTGGATCTTCAAAACCTTCTTTACAATCTTTTGCTCTTCCAACAAGAAAGCTCGAATTTGATGTATTATTTTCAGTCAAAGTTACCATCTTCCAACTACCTTAGGAAGGTATTCTCCATTTAACTCAGCGTCAACGCATTTCTTCACCTTATCTTCACTGAGTTTTGGAGTTGCCTAAAACAGTCCAGAATTACATAAAAATTAGCTTGAATGAAACTTACACAAATATGAATTTGCAATCTATCAATATAGAGAACAACAAAATAGAAAAAATATGTATGTTCCAAAACGAGTTAGTGGTAGAAAAGAACAATGATGAAGTTCATACCCATGTCACAAGGCTCTGCTGTCCAGCAGTAGAGTATGATCAAACAGGCTTCCGCCAATTGAGAGTTCTAGCAAGACAACACCAAAGCTATAAACATCACTCTTTGCACTCTTCTATCATGTCATAGCATATTTGCAATCCAAAATTAGATATTAAGGCCGGGAGTATTTATAGGTTCTCTAGAAAAAAAAAATAAATAAAATAAGAAGACATAATTTTCCAAACCAAGGTTTCCAGTGTGCAAAGTAATTCTCTAGATAATCTTCTTGTTAATTGATGAGTGGTATATACAACAATGACCATACATAAATTGCATCTTGTTATTTGTGAATGTTAAATAGTGTCAATTGGATTCAATGTCCTCTTTGTGAGGATTTCTTCTCATTATATAGGCACAAATTTGCAATATACAAGGCTAGAATCAAGCCTAAATTACAGCAGAAATATCTGACTAAATTACAGCTATTAAATCTGTCTATACTAAAACTATGTCTATATACAGAATCTGACTAAATAAGGAAGTATATATGTATAACTGGTGAGAACTAATTAAGGAAACATTGAGCATATCATGGTGACACCCCCCCTCAAATTGATGTTGGTAGGTTAAGAAGCATCAATTTGCCTACAAGAAACTGATGACGTTGTCGTGTCATGGCCTTCGTAAACACATCTGCAATCTGGAGGTCAATAGAAATATGAGGAAGAGAAATGATATGAGTGTCTAATACTTCCTGAATGGAATGACATCCACCTCAATGTGTTTGGTACGCTCATGAAAGACGGGATTGGCAGCAATCTAAATGGCACTAGTGTTGTCAACATGTAGAGGAGTATGATCAGATTGAACACAACCAATCTTAGCAAGGAGGCCACGAAGCCAAAAAATCTCAGAACAAGAAGTAGACATTGCAAGGTATTCAGATTCGGTGGAAGATTTGGACACGCGATCTTGTTTCTTACTCTTCCAAGATATCAAAGAGTCACCAAGAAACATGCACCCACCTGTAACAGATCATCGCATATCAGAACATCCTGCCCAATCTGCATCATTGTAAGCCAGAAGCTGAAGCCAAAGAATATCTTCCAAGATATCAAAGAGTCACCAAGAAACATGCACCCACCTGTAACAGATCATCGCATATCAGAACATCCTGCCCAATCTGCATCATTGTAAGCCAGAAGCTGAAGAGGAGTCTTGGTAAGGAAGAATAGGCCACGACTAGGAGAACCTCGAAGATATTGAATGATACGACGAACGGTAGCTAAGTGTAGATGACGTGGAGCCTGCATGAACTGATTAACTTGCTGTACTGCAAAGGAAATATTAGGACGAGTAATGGTTAAGTAGTTCAGGCTCCCTACTAACTGTCGATACATAGTAGGGTCGGAAAGGAGATCACTCTCTTCCCGACGATACTTTGTGTTTACTTCCATAGGAGTATCCACAGAAGAAGTATCTTAAAGACTAGCCAATGCAATCAGATCCTGAGTATATTTATGCTGATTCAAAAAAA